AATAAACCAAAATTACCCCTCCTCTTTTTTTAAATGGCAATAGACAAAAAGAAAATTACGATTAATCATTTTTATTGTATTTTGTTTTCTCATACATTATATTGAACAGAATTGAACACCTTGTATTTTAAATGTATTACCCTTTGAAATATGCAAATTACCCCTCGAGGGATAATTACCTCCAGGTTAAGAACCACTGTGTCTTGTCTTTGGCCTGTCCATGTGACATTTCATCCTGTGGATATGCACAGCCAGACAGCTTTTTTAGTATTCCCGCAACTGTCAACCAATGTCACTCATTACATTACACAAGGGTTTGGTTTCACTATTGCTCTATCGATACGTTATCCATTCTTTACTCTGAAGCATAACCCAACAGGACATTTACCTCTTTGATTTTTTTTTTTTTTTTTAATACGCAATATTTCATTTTCCATCTCATCCAGTTATGGCTTTGTGGTGGTGGGGTTTTTTATACCATGTGTTTTGTGTGATGTCTTTTCTTTTATTGTGTCAGTAATTCTACTCACACAGAATGTTCATACCTGTACAAATTTCTTTCACCAGAGAAAACAGTATCCTCTTCCTGTTTAACTGATTGGTCTGGGTCACGCATTTCTTCGTGCATTTCCAATGCTGCATGAAACATTCATACTAGTGGCTGCTATGCTCTGGAAAAAAACACTTGGGATTCATTTAGATGTATGATTCTAATTAACATTTAAGATATTAGCTCGAGTGTGTGTGTGTGTGTGTGTATCTATATGTACGATAGTTATATTGTCAGTGTTATAAATCACACATCTGTGGTTCCTTGGCCATATTAACTAGTGGATATCTGTGGGGTTCTAGATTTTTAAAGTCCTACTTCAATCCATGATTGGCATTACAGAAACTAAATCCAAAGCTGTAACTAAGTACGCTTTCTGCCCCATTAAAACAGTCATGATTGTAACCTACAAGAATAGTCGTGGTGAAATAAGTGTGTCACTTGAAAGCTAATTTTGAAGATTAACTGAATAGAAAAAAATGCTAAGTAATTTGTAAAATGCAGCAATATAGCCATGAAGCGCTATACCAATGGCTTATGGCTACCTTTAATATAGAGAGAAAGTTACAGCACTTCTGCATCTCCAGTGTAATAGGAGAGTGATGAGGCTAGGCATATGCAGATTCATCTTCCGTTAAGGTACCTTTTCTCCTTACTTGGCACAAGAATGGCCACACTGGGTCAGACCAATGGTCTGTCTAGCCCGGTATCCTGTCTGCTGACAGTGGGCAGTACCAGAGGCTGCAGAGGGAGGGAACACAACTGATAATCCTCATGTGATCCCTCCTCTGTCACCCATTTCCAGACAAACAGAGGCTAGGGGCACCATTCCTACCAAGTCTGGCTAATAGCCGTTGATGGACCTAACCTACATGAACCTCTCTAGCTCTTTTCTGAGCCCTGTTAAAGTTCTAGCCTTCACCGCATCCTCTGCCAAGGAGACCCAGAGGCTGACTGCCCTGAGTGAAGAAAAACTTCCCTTTGTTTGTTTGAAACCTGCTGCCTATTAATTTCATTTGGTGACCCCTAGTTCTTGTGTTATGGGCAGGGCTCACCGAACTGCAGCGAGCCCCGCTCACCAGCATGCGCAGATCGCCCAAACCTGGCTCTTCCGGGTTGCAATCTACTTGCCATGGGCGAGTAGATTGCATTATTTGTCAAGCCCTGGTTAAGGGGATAACTAAATAATTTTTCCTTGCTCACTTTTTCCACACCTGTCATGATGTTATAGACCTCGATCATATCCCCCCTTAATCTCCTTTTTTCTAAACTCAGCTATGTGTTTGACCAGTGAATTGCTCACCACATTGTGCTACAGGTAGGAGGGGCCAATGCTTGCCTAGTAGCCAATTATCTGGTTACCCTTTACATCCCTAATACTTGTGGGACCCTACTAGATCCATTCTTCCTGTTTGACAGCCAGCCACTGATAAATATTCTGAGTGTAGTCTTTCAACTAGTTCGGTATCCTCCTTATGGTAACATCATCTACACAATATTTCATTAGTTTATATGAACATCAGCTGAAACTGTCAAAACTCTTACTAATAAAAAATTAAGGTACATCAAGCTCAGCCGCAAAAATTATATGTGGATATCTGCAAATGAGCAGGTCTCTAAAGATACATCATGTCCACAGCTTTCCTCCTATCCACTAGGTCAGTAATTCTATCAAAGAAGGGAGTGGTTGATTTGGCATGTTTTTTTCTGGACTGGCTGGCTATACCTTGTGACCCCCCCCCACCTTATCTTCTAGGTCAGGGTGAGGAACATTTTTTGGGTTGGTGCTGCTGACTCTCAGAAAAAGATCAGTCGGGCCACACACACATGAGAAGGAAAAAAATAAAACCTCTCACTGACATAGAGATGGAGAAATGTGAGGAGAGGTGAGGATTGTCTATCAGAGACATGGGGGACCCAGGCTAGTAGATTTTAGGGATGTTAAATTTCAAGTAATTGACCAATCAAATAGTCAATGCATTTTGCATCGGCCGTTAGATTAGTCGATAGGGCACCTCTGCCTTTGAAGTATAGCAGCAGCCCTAGGGCAGTCACACACTAGCTCCTATTTCTACGTCCTGAAGCCTCTTGTTTTGCAGTATTAAAGCTGACAAGGTGCTTTATAAACTACTTCCTCACGAATTTATAGCATTTCTCTCAATGAATGGTCATAAAAGACAAAGATTTAGAGATTAAGTACAAAATTTGTAAAACTAAGCTTTGTATTATTTTGTTTGTTAGGGTTTTTTTTTATTATTTTCCTCAGCTAAGCTATCTTAATAGCTGTAATTTTATAGCATGTCTGTAACATTTAATTCTCATAGTCTGACAGTAGACAATCAAAAAACTTGGTTAAAGAACTCTTTATTACAGAAACACTTAAAACCTAAATGCAAACTTTGCTTTTAAAAAATACATTTGTTATATTTGAGGGTGCCATTATTTTCTTATCTTCTGATCTGAATTTAGTTAGCTACCCAGAGAAGGTAACAGGTTATTCCATTCACATGTTTTACTTGAGTTTTATTTGTTAGAACCCTGAAGATTTATTTTACTAGCAGGAATTAACTTAAACTGGCTTCATTTTATTACAAGCTTATATCTTTGTTTGGCATGTGAAAAATGTTCATATGGATTTAGGCTCCTTTCAAAGCTATGCTTTTAAGTGGCTCCACTGAATTAAACTGCAGTCCCATAATGCCAGCTCTCCAGAGCCATCCTCTCCCTCAGGTGTACAGAGATGCCGCTTTGCAAATGGAATACTTGTGCTCAGTTTAAGTTGGGAACAAATCCTGGCCAGTAGTTGATTGTCTAAATTGCAAGACTGTGATTTTCATCCATTAAAAACCTGCAGAAAGCTGTGCTTTGCCTAAAGTGAGGGGAAAGACAAAAGCAAAGCTGTGGAAATGGAATATTGTGGGCCATTAATAAATGGAAATGATGAATAACCTCTCAAAGATCATTCAGATGTAATTGCATTGAAAACTTGATTCAGTCTTTGAGAATAAAACCAACACTTTCTCAAATGGCAGAGGAATATTGTCATTTGTTTTCCAATTATAGGTTAAAAGCAGAAGAAAATGTTAGTACAGTAAAGCCTGCAGTACTCTAATAGATTGTTTCCCCCGTTTACTTAGCAACAAGGCTGCCCCTCAGAGTGGAGTAATCTATAAGAGCTGTCTTGGCAGGTTTTAAATAACATGCATTAAATCTATCTCACACGGGCTTTTAAAGATTCATAGACGTAGGTCACATGCAATATCTTACTGGGGAACTAGGAAAACCTTTCAGTAAAATACGCTGGTCTTAACAAGACATTGCAGTTAGTACTGAGGCGCTATAATTCTGCAGTGTTTCTCTCCATCCACCCAGCTACTCGGCTGGTTTTTCTTTGAGTGTGTTTTCCTCCTATATGCCCACTAATAATTGGTTTTAAGTATTAACTTTTTGTAGCCTCATCTATGTGATGTTCTTCTGCATAACAAAAATTAGCCTAAAAATCTTAAACTTCCAGCACTTTCTGCCTTCAGTTCATGCTCACTAGATTTCAACCCTGATAGTAACCCTCTCATAGCAGTTCAGCCCTGAATCCTTTAAAATGACGTCTTTTCTAGAAATTATTACTCGTAAGCCTGAGTATGGAAGTGACCCTTAGAGCTCATCGAAAACAGCGCCCCCTTGTGCTTGCACTGTACAGAGTGGCAGGTACATCTCTGCCCCACGGAGAATTCAATCCAAATAGAGCAATTATTGTACTAACCTCTCCACGCAGCTTCTGTCCCTGGGACTCTTTTATCATCCATGTGTCTATCTCTGCTTCCCTGTCCAGGTCTTCAGCATGCTGCCAGGACTGCTGTGCCAGAGAGCAAACGCCTTCTGACGCTCCCGGTGTCCCTGTGTCCAATTCCCATGTTGTCTCTTGTGCTCTAGGCCTCTGTGGCTATCGCTTGGTTCTCTGTCTGCTCAGACAAGGCTTCTGATTCTTACATTTCTAGCTACTGTTGCCTTGAGACCCTTCTGTGTGCTGTAGCATGGGACCATTTGTGAGAAAGTACAAGGGTCGTGCTAATGTCTCTCTCACTGCTGAGTTCGGGGAGAGTTGTCTTAGTCTGATGATCAGTCGCTGGGGGTGTTTGCAAAGAATCCAGGCTTGTGAGCCATTTGGCCAAGGCAGTCAGTTTGCAGTCGCGTGGCTTTCATGCTTTACCCTTACACATCATTCGGCAGATTCTGTTGATTCCATCTGAGGCACGTGGCATTGGCCACCATTGGAGGATAAGTGGCTAGATAAAAAAGAATCTGAACGCTTTCAATCTTCACAATCTAAGTCCATGCCGTTTTTAGGCTACTACCGACTAGCATGCAGTATCCTTGGGGGGAGGCAGTTTAATTCACGTTGTAATGATCTTACTAGTGTTCACATAATGTCATTTACATCTGACTTTTCCAGGCTATGGTCTTCATTGCCATCGAGCCATCATTACCATCTGCAAGCTAATTGGGATTACAGACATGTATGCCAAGCTTTCTGGATCCAACAATTTACTTAACCTCACCCGAGCTCTCTTTAAGGGACTAGCACGCCAGGTAAATTTTACAATCCATGTTTGCAATCTTATTTTCGAACGCCAAAAGGTAGAATAAAATCAATGCTTTGTGATCTAACACAGTGAATTCTAGGTTCAGAAAGGAACAAAGTTCAAATGAATTCTGCAATTCCAGGCGAAAACAGAACAGAGCTGGAATTTCAATCTCTTCTTTCCGCCCCCTCATCAGTCATGTTCAGCTGTCCATCAGTAACTCTGAGGCATTCAAGCAGACGGTGCCTCCAGGGGAAATCTGAATTTGTGGGATTAATTTGCTTTTGTCAGTGACATTTAAAAAGCACAAACAGAGAAAGCCTTAATCCTACTTTTATTGGTGTTATTTCTCCAGTTGCATTTTGGGTTTTCCCTGTTGGTGTATGGAACGCAATCCTTGCTTCTCCTGAGAGTCTAGCTACAGGGCCTGAGAAGTAGTGAGGAGGAGGCTGTAATCCTGGCTGCTGAGGGCCAGTCCATAGTCATCAGACATTTTAAATGAAGTCTGAAAAAATACCTGAGTCTAACATTTCTCCTTTCATCAGCTGCTAGTCTAGTTAGAGACTTTCAGGAGCTTCCTGCGGCACTGCAATGGGCCAGGCTGACTGAGGAGCAAGAGCCCAAGTGGCTAGAAATAGGCTCCAGAGCTGGCAGGATGGAAAAGTGGCAAGAGGCTTGTGTGAAAGGCGAGAGAGGCCTGTTGGGTGCAGCGTCGCTCAGGAGACGTTCCTCAGTGCGCTGAAGGGGCAGCAATGGTGCTTGCTGCTCCAAGTGAATCCACAGTCCGCAGAATGAGGGGCAGTTACAGAAGTTACCGTCTTGAGACTTATGTGCAGGGAATGATGATAAAGCCACAAGGTTTCTGGCAAGCTGCCTTGTACCGTCAGGTGAATGGCAAGCGTACTCGGGCCACACGAAGCTTGCCACATGACCGCTAGCGTCCCATTACCTGCACGTCTGCAAGATCTACTTCCTGGCGGTTATTCATTTGATTGAATTCATCTTTAGTCAGTTCTTTGTAGGGACAGAACTATGCAGCCCTGTCGCCCAGAGAATGCCTCGTGCTTTTGGGGTGTTGCCATCACTGGTTCCTGTGAGTTGACTGTCCCACTGCCTTTCCAGAAAGCAGCAAATCAGTGGTCGTGGGACCTGCACGTCTGCAAGATCTACTTCCTGGCGGTTATTCATTTGATTGAATTCATCTTTAGTCAGTTCTTTGTAGGGACAGAACTATGCAGCCCTGTCGCCCAGAGAATGCCTCGTGCTTTTGGGGTGTTGCCATCACTGGTTCCTGTGAGTTGACTGTCCCACTGCCTTTCCAGAAAGCAGCAAATCAGTGGTCGTGGGACCAGGGCATCCCTGCCAAAAGCTCACAGCAGAATTCCTGCTGTTGGCGCAGGGCGCTGGGCTCCACGGATTGTTTCTTTAGAGTACACACACTGCCTGAAACATGCCACTTGTTGCCACATGTGCTGCTGAAAGAGGCAAGCGGTGCTCGGCACCAGTGTGGCGGGGACGCAGTGAGGGTGCTCTGGAGGGCGGTCATGTAGAATTGAATCGGGGCAAGCTGAGCCTCCTGGTGGCAGTGTTTACAGACACCCTTTTAACCCCTCTCGCAGGAGACCCACCAGGAGCTGGCAGAGAAGAGGAGCCTCTACGTGGTCGAATTCCGGGAGGAATGTGGCCCCCTGCCCATCGTCGTTGCTGCTCCAAGTGGCGCCGTCAGGAAGGAACCGGAGCCTGTGGAAGAGGTTCCCGACATCAAGCTGGAGTGGAGCGAAGTGAGAGCTGCCCAGGGAATGAAGCGTTCTCCCTGGGCACATGTCCGAAGGACCGTGTGGTGAAGAGCAGGCCTGCCCGTGCCAGACAGTGCAGCAGCTCCAGCGGGCGATTGGCCAGGCGTGCACCTGCGCTACCTTGCATGCTCAGCAGCCTCGCTGGACATCCATGTTCAGCCAGCGGCCAGTCTGACCAGCGACGTGATTTCGGACATGCCAGTGCTCTGCTGCTCTCTCGCAGCTGCTTTGTAATCAGGAATCCCTAATTGTTCCCTTTACAGATACTTGGGAAACTATTAAAAACATGGATTAAATCAAAGCAGATCGCTCTGGTAATGTGCTGGGCTGCTGAGCCGCCTGTCTGTGCTTTCAGAGTGCAGTGCGCAGGGCGAGGAGAGATGCCAGCACCTCGGCTCCCTGCCCTTGCTGCGTGTAATCAAGGCCAGAGCAGGCGGGTGGGTTAGCTGTGGAATTCGAGGGGCAGAAGTACTGGTGGGGAGGAGTGAGGCTGAGCAGAGCTGCTGGAGGTGAAGCAGGAGACTGACTTGGGGAGGGGATTGGCAGGAAGGTTTGCGCCGTGCATGAGGAAGGCGAGGGGGGAAGATATGGGGATGAGGGAGGGCAGCAGAGTGAGGTAAAGTGACTCAGCGTGAGGCGTTACAGTGTCTTGACTTTGCCAGCTGGTGACCTCTCGGTCAAAGTTCATGATAATTCACAGCCCCTTGACGTTGCCTGTGAAAGATTGCTGTCCGTGCCAAAGCAGTGCACTGGATTTGTGTGCGTGCATTGGGAGGGTGACAGAGAATACCTGACCTCGCATGGGGAGTGGAGAATTTGGATTTTCTTTGCTTTAGAATTGTAATAAATTGCTAAATGATTCCTGACGCTTGCCTTTCGTGACCCACCAGAAACACTGCTCTAGATCGGAGTAATGGGGCAAAAAGATGAGCTGCCAGAGAAGTTATTTGACAGTCAGTAACACAATCAGGGAGCAAGTCAGTCCTTGAACCAGCGTGGGCAGCTGTGTTAACACTAGGGATGTTAGTGATTAATTTACTAGTCGAGTAGGCTATGGAATTTCCATCAACTATTTGACAGGCACTTCCGCGCTCATAGACTCATAGACTTTAAGGTCAGAAGGGACCATTATGATCATCTAGTCTGACCCCCTGCACAGTGCAGGCCACAGAATCTCAACCACCCCTCGAGGGGCTCTCGGCATTTCAAAGCGGAAGCACCGCATAGAGCCCCGGGTCAGCGAAGTCCCGTCCTGGCCCCAGGCTCCATGCTGCACTTCCTCTTTGAAATGCACAAGAGCCCCCGTTTAGGTCAGCTGGGGAGCGTGGAACCCCAGGTCAGCTGGGGAGCTGATCCTGGGCTCCATCTGGCATTTCAAAGCGGCAGCACCGCTTGGAGCCCGGGATCAGCTGAGGACTCCCCAGCTGACCCCAGGCTCAGTGCGGCACTGCCACTTTGAAATGCCTGGTGGAGCCTGGGATCCACTCCCCAGCTGACCTGGGGTTTTATGTGGCATTTAGAAGGGGTAGCACCACTGGGAGCCCACTCCCCAGCTGACCCCGGACTCCACGCAGCGCTGCTGCTTTGAAATGCCAGCGTTTCCAGGGGCAGCGCCACACAGAACCCGGGATCTGAGCGTCACTGCCCCTTTGAAACACTGCAGTGGTGATTCAAAGGGGAAGTGCTGCGTGGAGCCCGGAACACGGGGCTCCGCGCGACGCTGCTGCTCTGAAGTACCCTCCTCCTTCCCTCCCCCGCCTATCTGATAGAGGCAGCAAGGGGGGGGAGCGACTAGTCGACTATTCTGTCGACGACCTGATAAGCATTTGCTGATAAGCACACACGAGTCATTCACCGCGTGGTAAAAAGCACAGATGCCTGAGGGCCCGCTCCTCCCAAGAGAGACGCTCCGAGATCACCAGCAGGAGCTAATAGTCCGCAGGTCCCGGGGCGTGTTCTGCACCCACGTGGAGAGACTCTCGCAAGCACTGTCTGTTGGCCCCATGTGCACTCGCTCCCAAGCAAGGGTATGAAGGGCAGAGCGGCCGATGCCGCCGCCATGTAACCTGAGTTGGAATCCTGAGTCCTCCCTTCAGCTCCATGGCGAGCCCCGTACGTCCAGTTGTGAAGAGCCTTGTCCTGGAGCCTACTGACAGTTTATATTCTGGTGAGCACAGGGCGTCCCCCCTTCTGCAGAGGCCCTGGCCAGGTCTGGGGCTGTGCGCCACGTCCCAGGCTTCAAGAATTGCATCCCTTGCCCCCGCCCTGTCAGCAGCGAACATCAGCGCTGCCTGCCTGTGAGCGGGTGAGAGTCTCTCTCTGCAGGCTGGAGCTTTGTCCCTACCCGGTCCTCCAGCGTCTCCTTCGTTCCTCAGGCGACGCTTCTCCTGGGGAAGGCCACAAGACCCCTCTTCAGTCTGAGCCCCCCTTGGTGTGTCGGCCTCAGCTGGCGAGCAGCGCCCCTCCAAGAGGGTGCTCAGGAGCGGAGCGGCCGCTACCCAGCTCCACCAGAGCCCGCTGAGGTCAGGTGCCAGACCCTGAGGAACGGGCTCTGCTCAAAACCCCTGGACGGGAGAGGGGCAAAACCTGCCTGTTCCCTTGGTCGTGTCGGTGCTGGAGGGGAAGGCCCCACATCTGCTGGCTCTGCAGACACGTTGGGGCCACCTGGTTTGTTCAAGGGCCGCACTGCCCCAGGACACCACAGTTCCAGCAGACGCCTGCCCGGATCTTCCGGACACTGGGACCTACAGAGACTTGCACAGCACCAGATCTGTCCCCCTGCTTCCCGGCTCAGCCTGCGGAGGGGTGTGACCGCACCAGAGCAGGCTACTAGCTCAGTGTCCCAGGAGCTCTCTGGCCGCCCCCCTCTGGCAGGAGAGCTCCAGCACTGACAGCACACTGCTGCGGCGGAGCCGTTCGCAGACTCGGATGAGTCTGGCTGCTCCCGTGTCTCCACAGAGAGAGCTGAGGGTCAGATTTCCCCGGGGAGTCCTTGGGGTTCCCCTCAATCAGCTGCCCCCCATTTCTGTGTGGGATAAGGAAGTTAACTAGTGGTTAGTTGACTAGTCGAGTAGTCGATGGAATTTCCATCGACTAGTCAATAGGCGCTACCTCATTCCTCCTTTGAAACGTAGAAGGGCCCCTTGCTGACTGCAGGCTGCATGCGGGTGCCAGCTTTGAAATGTACCAGGGTGCCCAGCGGGGGCTCTTGCGCATTTCAAAGCAGATGCTCAGCATGGAGCCCGAGCTCATTGAGGGACTCAGAGTCCCCAGCTGACCCCAGGCTCCGTACAGCGCTGTCGCTTTGAAATGCCACGTGGAGCCCGGGTCAGCTGGGGACTCCTCAGCTGACCATGGGTTCCACAGAAGTGCTGTGGGGAGCCCGGGCTCCATGTGGCGCTGCTGCTTTGAGACACCTGATAAAGGCGGGGAGGAGACGTTGACTTGTCCTTGACAGCCGTAGTGTGGGATCCCCGTGGCGGACGTCCGGCTCCTCCTCAGAAATTGTTCCACTTCTCTCCTCAGCAGCCAGATTGGGTCCCTTCCTCAGCCTGGGAGAGGCAGTCGCTCCTTTCTCTGCAGCCCCCACCCAGAACTGTGCAGCAGACAGCGCTGCAGGCACTTCGTGGAGACTGGAGAGTGGGAATCTACTGCCCTGTGCGGAGCAGAATCCTCCCACGAACTGAAAGCTCCATTCTGGGGTTCACCCTTGAAATCGAGCAGCATTGGAAACAAACTTGGTCCTGCCTTGAGGGCGGGGGGCTGGACTCGATGACTCTCGAGGTCCCTTCCAGTCCTATGATTCTATGAAACAGTTGCAATGTTGCACTGGGCGAATGGCGGAATAACCGGTTTGGCTTTCTGAACGGGTTTGTTGGGGTTTTTAACTGAAGATGTTTATCAAATTCGCTAATAGTTTGGGCTGACCCAGAACTGGCTGTTTTACTGAACAAGCTGTTTGTCCAGAAATGTTTGCCTTGCGCACTCCCCTTGGTTGCTCAAGGGGCTGCATCACTGGAGCAAACCACGCAGCCGGGCCCTACCCTGTGGCTATGAAAGACCCAGGCGCTTGTGAGGCCTTTGACCCTGCCTGAGAGCTGATCTCTTGCTCTGTCAGATCTCCCTTTGCACCAGGCTTGTGGCTGATTTATGAACCTCGTGAACAAGCCGTGAGCCAGTTGCTATTCCTAGATAAAGCTCACTGTAAATGGGATTCATCCATAACCCAAAACATGCCGGAGCGCTGGATCTAATTTTGTAATCTTTTGCCATTCAGGAGAAGATTGTGGAGGGCTTAATTCAACCTTTCTTCCCTACAGGCATTTCTAATGGAGAGCTAGCTTTTCAATAGACGGGATTGTGGGTACCACATTTGCATACCTGTGTGGAGCAGTGAGGCTAAGATTACGATTAAAAAAGCTGTTTTCTAATTTTCTGGAGACGACCAGCATGAACTTAGTGGTTTCTATAGCTGCAGCCTATCAGCTGACGTATTAAAGCTGTGAGATCTGATATGAAAACAATTTGTTGCTTTTAAGTGTATTGGAACCAAAAACAATTTAATTCAGCCAGATAAGAGAAAAGGAAAGGGGAGCATGCGAGAAGCTCGGGTTTCGTCCCCAGTCAGATAGTATCAAATCACAGTGGCTTTCCAACATGCCGACCACCAGAAAATTGTCCTGCCATCGCTACTGAAAGGCATGGCCCTGCCATTTAAATACAGCAAGCGTTTAACATTAAATTCAGGCAAGACACTGTAGCAATGGAGACGGCCTGACGTTTGCATTGTTGCTGTCTTTGTGGTACTTCAACAAAATCTGCTGTTTGCTGGTTTGGGGTTATAGCTCCTCCTGCTGCTAACCCCCTACAAGAACTCTGGGGCTCACCGCGCTGGTCAGAATCCATGCTGACTGGAACAGGCCCCAAGCCGCTGTGTTCCAAGTGGTGAATTCAGGCAAAAGGCCCTGTGAGTTTCCCTGACAAATTGCTGCTGCTGCTGCTTGTGTTTCAGTACATGTCTGGGGCCTCCCCTCGGGCTGGGCGTGGGCAGCCTTGTGGCTGTGCTGATCCGGGACATGAGACAAGCAGGGAGGCAAGACCATTTATTACACTGTCAAGAGTTGTACAATGGGACCTGAGATTCAACGGGCCTCGTGCTCACTGCACTGTGATCTCTGTATCTGTCCTCACGGACACCCTCTCTGCCCCCGGCACTCCCTGGGTGCAGCAGAATGCCCAGCTGACCAAAGAAAAAGCCTACGGACTGATTTAATGACAGTCAGCTGGCCGTGAGTGCCAGCG